CTTCCATCGATCATTCTCGTTCAAGCGGTCTTTGATGTTCTACTGAAAGACTTGAAATGGAAATAAGTTTAAATTTTTCCACCAAAAAGATTAAATATGAGACGGAGTTCTTTCAACTGAATGTAAAATTTGGAGAAATGTGTTCTTTTGAGATCGTAATTAGATTATTATGAATTGAAAACTGTTTTTGAGGAATTTTCAAGGATGAAATTCACAGAATATTCAAAACGGTAGTGGGGTGAAGTGAGTTGATTATTCTTCTTCACAATTCACAATTCATGAATTATTGTCACGAAGTTATCTATAAATTACAGAAATAGGACAGAATAACTTCGTTGGTACTGGAGAAATATTGCTTTGGTTTTGGGTAATGTAAGATTTCACTACTACCCACTATGAATGACTTCTTATAAAAAGCACAAAATATGAATTGATTAACACTTCATTGTGAGATTTTCATTGAACATTTCACAGAATCGCAACATGTATTACAGTATACAATAGTTTCTTCGGGCATATTCATGCCGAGTACGAACAGGTGTGAATAGAATAATGGTTTCCATCAAGGATTGGTCAATTCCATCACATAGGAAATGAATTAATTAATGTTCAATTTGCCTTGAAAAATCATATTTGTGAAGTTCTCCAGATGATTGTGTAGTATTATTATAAATGAACATAGACATCTTTCCTTACGAAGACGTCATCTATGGGATCAACAGACATTGCCAATTTCACATACCTTTACAGCCCTTCGATTTTTCACATAAGAACACCCAAAGAGTGGTCTATAAGATACAACGTATTGAAATTCAGGACTTATTACGTTGAAAAACCTCGGAGTTCGTAACTTGCTTGCTTCCTTACATGATCTAGGTGTGGCTAATCTAGTGACGGGACCATCGGTTGCGTTCGACCGAACGTTCATACAAGTTAACTATGCTCTTATTTCGCCAGAGAGTTCTTGCGTCGCACACCTGCCCCCGCTAACCTACCAAATCAAGTGGGAATATGGTCCCAGAAGTGACAAGTCGGGGTCCTTAGCTCGGATACTAGTAGCCCCTTCTATCCGGGCCCGATACCTCGAACGTCTGCCTTGGTGCCCTCCACGGCTAAACTCGGATACTAGTTCTCACTGAATGGACTGCAAGCCCCGACACCTTGAACACTTGGATCTATACAGAGGAAGGCGAGAATCATGGAAAAGCACAAGCTGTCTAGTGACCCAGTAAGGGGCTGCAATGCACCCATGATGCAATGCACCACTAGAACTCATGTTAGGAAAGTTCCCTTTTCAACATTTGATGAGTAACCGTCGAGGACTCTTTGGAACGACCTCTACCACACATCTTATATCGAAGACGTCGCGCCTACTGCCCGTGTTGGTGCAGGCAATGGACGCATTTTTTATAGGCGCCAACACCACTCACTAACAAAACATTCGAAATACTGCGCCTCCCATAGCAAAAATTGTTGTTCGACATAACGGAGTTTCTTCCCCTACCTTCTTGGGGACATATATGGACCATAAAGTAATGAAAGAAAAAACGACTCTGAGTATACACAGGAAATGGACGTCAACTGAACGATCTCATTTGTCTTCCGTGTACTATCCGAACAAGAGCAGTAACTTCCTAGTTCTCTAGCTCTTGATTCTGATAACAAATCTGAGTTGCTAGGTAGGCAGACAGAGTTATACGGAGGGTGGATTTAATGCATGATAATGCGTATGCAAAAATTTCTCTATCACTATCATCTTCTAAATGGAACTAGATACATATGTATAACCGGCATCCGGCCTTCGAATGTATAATCTCTGAAGAAGCTAGCCGCTTGCGACAGCGAAACATTAGCCAGAAATTCCCGAAACCACGGCCTTTGAACCCAAAAAATTCGGACACTGAAACCCTCGGCCGCAAAAGCCTTAATAATTTTGTCGAAAATTGTCCAAATCGGTAGATATGCAAACGTGGTCCCTTAGAATTACCTTCTAGTTCTCCTGACAATACACCATTAGTTTTCTGTTTTTGAATGAAAAGATGTGATGAAATCTGAAGTATAAGTTATATAACCTCAGTCTTTTGTTTGAAGGTAATTTTTTGATTTTTATTTCATTTTGGTTGTTCCATTTTCTATTTCTTGCTTGATTTTTATTAAAGTGTGATTTCATTCCAAGATAAAATTAATATTTTCAGCTATTTATTTTAATTTCCATTACAATTTCATTTGTTCTTGCAGGGGTTTCAAATTATATTATATCATATCAGACAATGAAAGTTCGAACCAATGAAATTAACTTCAGTCTATTCAAAACCTCATGAATGAAATAAGAGATGCTTGCAAAACATATGAATATCCAAATATGAATTTATACGGAAGTAAATAGTAAACATTTTGATCATCCATTGTGATGAACTAGAGTGAGTTCGAAATCAACTTATTGTTGAAATTTTTATATTCATCGTCAGTTTCATTCTCATGAAATGATATAAAACTCAATAATAATACTGCACAACAGCATTTCTGTTGAATGGAATGTTTTTTATGTATCTAGCTGAATTTTCTACTCTGATTGTACTCAGATTTTTGCTAGCAGCTCTACTTTTTGAGATATGAAGAGGACCTATTTTTATCAAATAAACATGGTTTTTCGTCATATAAAAATTTATTCAACTATCTAATTAGAAATTTCTTGGATGAGTTGGAGTGTTAGTAGTATTCTGCATGATCTAACATTAGTCTGCCATCATACTTCCATTCCAATAGCCCTGGTAGCGCGTCTCCATGGTGCAAATATCCTAATGAAAGCGTTCTCCCTGCTTCTCCTTTTTTTCTCCGAGTTTTTGACTTTATAGCCACCGATCAAGGTGGCTATAAAGTCGATGCATCTCATTAAATCTCAGTGTAATAGTAACTGCTTGATGTGGTCAGGAAAGTCGACGGACTTCTTATTTCCCAAAAAGTTTTTTACGAGTCAAACAAACTCATTCCAGGCATTTTTTCAGCGGTTGTCATACTTTCAGTAAAATATACATCGTTTATTGATTTTTTAATTTATGGTCCATCGAAAATTCCAGCTTTTAACGTCTCATCACTCAACTTTGGATATGAACTGGATATATACTGAAAATATTTCCCCTCTTTTTTATAGGCTGTATGTACGTACTGTTTCATCAATCTAGTTTGATGCGTGAAGGAGGTGATATTATACGTTCCCGAGGCAATAGGGAAGGGTTTATTACATTAAGCATGCCTTGTATCAATTCGTGTCTAAGCGGCCAATCTTTTCTGGTCCAATGCTCAGTTTTAGCTCTGCTGTCCTACAAGCAAATGAAACACGGATATTTCGTATAACCGCTTTGTTGGCCCAAAAGATAATCAACCATCTTCTAGTCCACGCATATGAGCCAGTTGTGTTATGTGTATTTAATTTTGTCTGCAACCAGATATATTATGGAATATTCTTCTTCAGCTTTGGTTGAATGAGCAATATGCAAAGAGACAAGTTTATTGTCATTATGTAAAAGTACACATCCAAGACTGCGTTTTGACGAGTCCATAAACAAACGCCAATCATCAGGTTCGTATTTTTTTTATTTTATTCCAGTCACTAGTCCTAGAATATTATTACACAAACCAAAATCGTCCCCCTTAGGAAACAAAGGAAGTAATTTCTTTTCCCGGATTCGGTAAAATGAGACATTCATTTCTTTGGTGACCAAATTTATTTGTTTCAGTCGAGAAGCTTTAGACAATCTGAGATCTCTTATGAAATCATTCAGATCCTCTTGGATCTGAATGGTCTTGGTCTTTTGGCGTCTTCAAATTCGCTATCACTATCTTCGCCGCTTGTGTCACCTTCCTCCATTCGTTGAACAATTTCATGCGGACGTACCTGTGATGTACTTGATTGGGGTACTAATGTATCAGTTGATCGCAGGACAGGTCTAGTAACTGACGGCACAGTATGTTATGTTTACGACGCAGAAATAACAGTCGTCAAGGTGGTTTAATGGTTTCACCCCAAATCATAGGACTAGTGGGGTTCAAGGGACCCCTCTTGTTATTTTTCCATAATCATTAGGACATCACACACGTTTTGCACACTATATTCGGTATAGTGTGCCACCAATGTTACAAAATCTTTCTGGATTGTTTACACAGGTTCTTCTAGACGAAGCCATTGCAAAAAAAAAATTGAAACTACTACGACGTTGAGGATAGCGAAATCAACAATCAAATAGAGAGTACATTTTTAGAGGGTACCTGTATCTCCTTAACTGAAGCTACTAGAAAAAATCTGGGAGTAGATTTAAAATAGGCGGGGCTACATTAATAAACAATGGGTGAGAAATCACATGCTACAAAAAAAGTTCGATTTTGTTGTGCAGTGGTCTATTTGAGGAAACAGTTGATAGCTTGCTCTAAGCCAGTTTTGTTTGTTCCGTATCAAATACTTTTTTACGTAAATTTTTGTTCAACTTTGATATCATGTCCCTTTCAAAAGTTGTGAGAAGTTTTGCTTCTGTACTATATACTAAACGTATATTGAGCTATCATGGTGGAGAAATAAGTTATTCGAAGTTCATCAGATATTTTTACCTGATATAAACTTTAAAAGTATTAAAACTATTTCACATGAAAAGAGGCAGGTGCAATCACTTATCGATAGAGATGATGAGATGAAATGGTGGAATATTATTGTGACATTATACGTTGAAATAAAAGGCGAAGGTGGAACATCTGACGGAAAATAAATCCAAAACGAACTCTTTTCCAATCACCAGAAATGCATATCGGAACTCTTCTAACAACCCAGTTGGCGACTTCAGAAAAACTGCATCTTCCTTTCCTGAAGACGTCAACTTAGTTGGTGAAACGCGCGTCTAGAAGAGTATTGCATTTCTGGAGATTGAGAAAAGTGCTTGTTTTGCAAGTTACGCTTGACTATATTTTCATGCTGTAGTGAGATAATGAGATGATAAAGTGCTGTGACATACCGTACTCCGGGCATTGCGTACCTTAGAAGACCCTATCTCCCTTGTCGAAATGCCCATTTTCTTATGCTGTCGTAGTTGAACTGGATATATAATCTGGTAGTAATGGGAACCAATATTTCGTACCATTTCCTGGTTTTGGGTGTACTCTCGTAGTAACCTTTCCACCTCTCCTGCAAACCAAACTCAAGTTGATGAATTATTCTAATCATTTCTATTCAGAATTATATGCTTTTATTCAAGTTCTAATCAGAGTCGAGTGTGAATTATTTCTGGATTTTTTAACAAAAATGCATTTATGTGGAAGTTTCTATGTTCGTGGTGAAGTATAATGATTCTGACATTATTTTTCGCGAATAATTTGTGAAAAATTTTGTTTTTGAGCCTAACAAAGTCGAAATTGAAAAAAATGACAAACTTTTTCTGCTGATTCACCTCATTTGGTAATTGAGTACCGTGTTTACATTCACTACCTGGTTGGTAATAGAAGTACCCGGCCTGATCCAGAGATGGCGGTTGTTGTTTGAAAAATATCACTGTATATTAGAAAGTACACGATCTATAAAGCATATGTTTCAAGTTTGAAGATGCCGTGTTGTTCAGTATCTGTTTGGTAGCCACGTTTTTGGTGAATTTGTGAAAATGGTCATCTTCATATAATACAATACTTCAATTCGAAAGGCCTCAGCCCAACCAATATGAAAGCTGAACTGGATTTCACTCTGGGTGAGTCTGATCCTTTGTTTACAACAGTGAAATATTGGGTAGCAGAATTTAAACGAGGCCGTACGAGCTGTCAAGACGAATGTAGCAGTGGTCGACCAGACGAGGTGACAACTCCAGAAACGGCGAAGAAAATCTACAAATCGATAATCAGTGATCATCGGCTGATATTGCTCGAGTAAGCAGATTCAGTGGACATTTTAAAAGGTGCGGTACATCGAATATTATCTGAAAATTTCGACATGAGAAACCTCTGTGCGAAATGTATGCCGCGTTTGCTCACAGTCGAGCAGTAACAGTGTCGTCAAAAATTTCCAATTGAGCGATTAGCGAAGTTTCACAGCAACGAAGCATAATTCTTGTGCCCTTTCGTAACCATGGATGAAACAGGTCCATCACTTCACACCCGAGACGAAAGAATAATCAAAACAGTGGACTCAAATGAGATAACCGGCTCCAAAAAAGGCGAAGACCGTTACATCTGCAGGCAAGTTCATAACATCGGTTTTTGGGGATGCAAGTGGAATATTTGACTATATTGAAAAAATATCAACGGCGAATACTATGTTAACTTACTGAAACGATTGAGTGAAGAAATCAAGCAAAAACAACCGCAGTTGGCTAAGAAGTGTTGTTCCATCAAGACAACGCACCAGCTCACAAATCCATTATTGCAATGACCAAACCTAATGAATGAAAGTTTGAATTGTTATCTTTTGCACCTTATTCGCCATATTTTTCTCCATCGGATTATTTTCTGAAACCAAACCTAAAGAAATGGCTCAGGGGTCAAAGATTTTCCAACGATGAAGAAGTGATGTCGACCATTGATGGCTAGTTTGAGGAGCAACACATTTCTTATTATAAAAACGGTATCGAACTTATTGAACGTCGCTTGGTAGAGTGTATAGAGCTGCAAGGAGCTTATGTTGAAAAATAGATACTTTTTTTCAATTTTTTTGTGTTTTCTTTGTTTGGTCGGGTACTCCTAGGACTATCTTCAGTAGTCAGGTTCACAAGTACCATTTCACATAATTTTGGTTCACTGTCATAAAAATTTACGAAAAAAGTAATTGGATTCATAATTTTACATAGTGTAAATCATGATTTGAGTTGCTCTCACAAATATCGGAAAGAGGTTTTTATTTTCTGCAAATATCTCGATTTCTCAAGAACTATTATAGATATGCAAGATTTGAAAAGAGATCCTGAAAGAGCAAAAAATTTGCCTAATAAATTGTTTACCAATCGATACTGTAGCTAACGCCAATGTTTATAGTTTTGATACATGTTTAAAAAGAATTCTGTTATTTGAAGAAACGTCAGTAGTGTTTTTTGGTGATAGATTCTTTTGTATACAGTGTGGTTAAACTATAACGTCACAAAGTGAAAGTAGATTCCTCATATCAGGAGATTTTCAAAAATAATCACCCAATAAATGTAAATCGATTTTTGTAACTGTCTATCTATGAAATCTTAAATGTTTGATTCTATTTCAATTTTTTCCATTTTTTGTCAAGTTTTATCCTACGAGTAAAATAATCCGCACGCTA